GAGTTGATTAATAGAATATGGTGGTGTTCCTGGATATGAGATAGATGGGCTGTCAACAAGGGTATTGCTTAATTTATATAAGAAATCAATGATGGATTATCAGAGACAGAGGGCAGTAACTCAGTAAAAAATCACAATTCCTTGCTCAGTTTCCAGATCAGATTGGAACCCATTGACTGAAGGAGGGGCTGATTCTTTAGAAGTCAGGACCCTTTAATACCAGGGCAGATATATTTATTTGTTATTCCTCTGGTACTTAACCAGGGGAGTTAAGACTAGTTACTCAGGTGAATGTGCTATGCGGAAAAAAGAGGAATACTCAGAACTTTTGAAGATTATTGAACACTGGTTCTGAATTTACACAAATATCCAGAGACCCAATAAACCAACACCACTGCATATTAAAATGAGGGGTATATAAAGGCTATCAGAGTCCTAGCCAGTCTGGTTCTCAGAGGGCCCACTACTCTGTTGACCAATCTGGTGGTCCTTCTCCTAATCTCCAAACGCATAATTGAAAGGGACACCCTTGGTAGTTTGAAGAACCCTCACAGTGATTCCTTGATTTCTGGAATAAGAACTATTGTAGTGGGGAGGGGCAAGTAGAAGTTTCTGAAACTTCCTACCCCAGAAAAAAGAGTAAATGAAAAACAATGCTGAATTCCAAAGGGGATGGAGTAAACTAATGAAACTTTCAAAGAGTTGAATATTATGATAACTCCTACCATACCCCAGGCAAGTTCTTGCAAAAATCAAATAGAACATGGCAGGTGATAAGACAGTAGCCCCAGTTGCAGCTACTGTGCTCAATGTATTTTTTGTTTGTTTGTTTTTGGTTTTGTTTTGCTAGAACAGGTTAAAATAGCCTCCAGCACTTGATATAGCAAATGTGTTTCTAGCCACACCTATCAGGAACACGAAGTGGATGCCATTGGCATTCCCTTGGGATAAACGATGGTTTATGGTCTTGCCCTCAAGTCTTTGCAAGTTTCTTACACCCTTTATCAAGATGCAATCTGAAATAACCTGGATTTTATGGACATTCTGTAAAATGTCATATTGATTCACCATATGATTGGCATCATGTAATAGGACCAGATGAGAGATACAGGGAAAGTATATTGGAGGCCTTGGTTTATACATAATATATACACCAAACTCTAAGGTTCATAAACTATAAACCTTAGAGAATAGGCAGTAAATCTTACAAAGATTCATAAGACTTCTGATTCCAGACAAGATGGAGTAGACACATTCTGCCTACGCCTCCCACTAAAGACTTTGGAATATATACATATCTCTCAAACATAATAAGGCTCTAAAAGTTGGGGGAAAAGAGGTAGATCAGGTAGGAACCTTGGGATCCAAGGAGTGACATTAAAGCGATTTCCCGGGCTTCCCCCACCCCCAGCTCCCCTTATGTATCCCAGACTGAGTGGGATACAGCAACCCAGAAATGCCAAAAGATCCAATCATCACCCCCACCACAAAAACTACTTGGTTTCCCATTTTTCCCTTTTGGTAAATGGCCTGCGGTGTTTGAGAAGTAATGGCAGTGGAATTGGGTGAAGAGGGTAGCAAGGGTGGGTGGAGGTTAAGAAGGATTCAAATGATAACCTGCTGATCAACAAATTTTAACTGTATTTTATGATTTGGTCATATTGGTTATCTTGTATGTAGAGCTAATCATCAGTGGTGATGTCAATCATCACATGAGCTTTCTAGGAATACATACATTCTAAGTTGTTCACTCAATAGCACAAATTCATTTTCATTGACTTTATAACTTAAAAATCTATTGGCCAACTTCAGAAACAAGTGAACTGAAATATCTTAGCCTCATTTAAGTGGAATATTCTGTCCCCTTTAATAAACTAAGATAAATTATTATTAAGTTGGGGGGTGGGAGGATGGGTTAGCCTGGTGGTGGGTATTGAGGAGGGCACATTCTGCATGGAGCACAGGGTGTTATGCACAAACAATGAATCATGGAACACTACATCTAATGATTTTATTACAGTGTTTATTGTTTTATTGGTAATTGAATTATTTGAATGGGATATAAGTCAATTAGTTGAAAAATAGAGACACTGTGAAACTAAGAAGTATTTAAATTAAGAAATGTTGAAACACATGAAAAGTGAATGTGAAAATGGACAAAACTCAAGACAAGTTCTGGCTTGTTGAAGAGATAAGTGTGGTGCCCTGGGCATTACAAGTAAGATGAGCTATTTGCAGCAGTTTCTCAACACTTCCTCATTCAGAATTTCTTATTCAAAGAGCACAATGAGAAGAGCTTAAGAATTCTGTCTTCAGCTGCTGAGCAATCTGTAAGAGGCTTGGAAACTCCCCAAGACCAGGATTGACAGCCATCCCCATCACCTCTGCTCCTTGAATGCCTGATTCTGATTCTTTTTGAAGATGCCAGGTCCCAAAGGAGGTTGCAGGACGTAGGCTAAGGGTTGAACTCACCATGACGGGACAAAAGCACTCTGAACACAGTGCTTCCTTCATTGCCCACTGAAACAAATTCTGAATTCCATTTTTATGGCACATCACACCAGGATCACATATAATCCTAGAGTATCTTTATTTGTTCTATAATTTAATAGTACACCTATAAAATAATTACATTATACTTATAGCTTTTCTTCATTTATAAACAGACAAAAAAAAAAACAATTAAATACAATTTGAGCCATTATAAGGTAAACTTTGTACATATAAGAACCCCCAGAAGGAGCTTCACACTGCAGCATATCATATTGCTTCTATTGCTACACCCACAATTGGGTTCAAAGAGAGTGCGCTCATGTTTGTATTCTGTGAGTTCATAGCTTAATCCTTCCTCTATCTGTGTGGGTTATGTGTTAATAAAATGACAGGGTTGGCTTTGCAGTCAGCCAGAGACTCCCATCCGCTCCCACCCTACTCTACTCCATTGGCCTCTGTTAGGGTCATGTGAACCTCCTTCCTTCACAGCTTTTCTGCTGTGTGTTCTGCACTGAGTCTGACTTGAGGTTTTCTATTCAATGCAAAAATAATTTCTGAACTTGGACACACTCTCCACTCTTTCTTTCCATCCCAAGGTTCCAGCCTTCAAGGATTTCTGTTGAGTTCTGCCTCCTGATTCAGGGCTGTATATACCCATTTCTAAAACCAATACCCCTTTTTACAACAGCACATTCTGCTCAAGGCTCATGGAGTTACAGAAGAGAAAGAAATGAAACCTGCAGTGTAGAAGCAGGAAATGGAGTCAGGGACACACCACGCCTTGATCTCCAGGTGAATGCACCTAGACCCGCCCCCATCACTGTCTAACGTCAGGAAGCCTCAGTCCCCCAAGCAGTTTGTAGAGGGTCCCACAAACCTGGAAATGGGCCTTTCTGAGTGCCCTTGCAGCAGTACTTGAGACTCGGTGCTCAGAAATTACCAATGAAAGGTTTTCAAAGTATGCTGATTCCCACCAACATCTCATTCACATTTATCAGATTCCATAAACATTACTCACAGGGAAGCCTCTGTGGGGCAATTTAGCAAAGGGACTGAAACTAAGTATAATTTTGCAAGAAAATAAATTATGTCAGCTTTGTTCTGCCAAGAGACCGCAACATGAAAACCTTATTGATTCCTTATAAAAATAAAAGGTAAGCTGATGTTTGATCATCCTTTAAAAAAAAAAGTCCATTCTTTGAAAAGGAAGCTTCTGTAGCTTAACTAGATTTCTATTCTATATATTTTATCTTTTACTTTCTCCTACACCACAAAGTGACCTGACTCCTTATATATTTAAATATTTCTCTCTTTTACCAGGAATTTTTTGTTTTGTTTTGTTTAGTGTCATGGTAGTAAAATAGTAGACCTTCTCACACCACATATGCATATTAAACATCACAGGGCTTTTGAGTTCCCTGTTGACGACTTCCTAGTGAGTCCCCTCCCTACACCATCCATCCCAACCCACTTCCTACCTTGTGCTGCAGTGCTTCAGTACCTTCAGTGAAATATTATTCATTGTAAAATCACAATGTAAAATCACCTGCCTTCTCCCTGCCCAATCTAAGAATAGGTGCATGACAGTGAACTGCTGATCAGGCATTACTACTGAGTGAACCCCGCTGTGAGCCTTACTCAGAATGGTGCTGCAAAGCCAGAGTCCAAACTCGTGAAACAATACATGGATAGGTCTATAGTGCTTTTGAACAGCTCTTTACAATACAGGTCAATTACAAAACCAGCGTTAATATGGAGACCTTTGTGTGTAATAATATTCTAATTGCAGCGATAATAGCATGCACACCAGAGTTCATCTGAGTCCACGGATGTGGGCGGAGGAGGGAGGTGGGGGACGTGGGCAAGAAAAGGTGGTGGTGGCTGGGGGTGGGGGAGAGTGTGGCCTGCTGTGAGCAAGGTCCCCAGGGAAGCCCATTTCATGATCCCAGTGGCTCAAGTCGTCTTCTCGGCTATCGGGTTTGTTAGGAGAACCTCCCTGTGTACGGACATTGTCCGGATCCGCATCACAGCAGCGCGAGGGCAGCCCTCCCTTCACCGGGGAACCTCGCAGCGGGAGGGCCCCGGGCCCAGCGGGAGAGGGGTGAGGGCCGCATCCTTCACTTCCTGGGAAAAGGGGAGCTGGAGTGTAGGGTGAGGCCCGGGAAAGACTCGCTTTTCCACACGGTGGAAACATCAATGCCACATCGGCAGCGCAGCCCCAGAAAGGCCCCCTCTCCGACCGCTGGCTGGGGGGTAGTGGGTTTTCAGCCGCGGCCCGCAGGCCTGAAACGCAGCCTGTTGGGGACGCCCAGGAGGGGCCCGCGGTCGGCCGGGAACACAACAGCGAAGCTCCCCTTGCGGCGCGCGCGTGAGACAAGGGCGCCGTCGGCCCCGGGAAACGTGCTTGCGACGGAGCGGGCCACCGGGCAGCGCGTGCGTGGGCTCAGAGGACGGGGACGGCGACGGCGACGGCGACGGCGGCGGCGGCGGCGGCGGCGCGCAGAGCGAGTTGCGTCCCGCCGCGGGGGCTTCACTGCTTGTCCGAGTCGCTCAGGTTCACGGACATGCACCGGCACTGCTTCACCTTCTGGATCTTCTTGAGTCGGAAGGGAGGGTCCATCCCAGGGCATTCGAGCTCCACGAGGACGGAGGTGACGCGCTGGGGCTTGCAGAAGGCGCACGACTGGAAGGACTCCTCCTCCTTGCGGACGTGGCGCGGGATGTAGAAGGAGTTGCACTGGCCATAGCAGAAGCGGTTGAGGATGGTGCGGCTGCGGCAGCCCTCCTCGCTCACCGTCTGCCGCAGCGGCTGCGTCTTGCACCAGTCACTCTTGAGGTACTTGCGCTCGGTGACCACCAGGGCCTCCTGGCTGGAGGCCAACACCTCCTTGATCTGGTGCTGCCATCGCTCCGAGTGGTTGCTGCTGCCGTCCTTGTAGGGCGAGGGGATGGCGCCCGCAGGCCGGTTCTTGCGGGCCTCCGCCACCTTCACCAGCACGGCCACCAGGCACAAGGACAGGGAGAGCTTCCAGAACATCCTGCAACGAGAGAAGAGCGAGAGCATTTGGCTGGGGCGGGTGCTGGGTTTCCTGGTTTCATTAGGAGGAGCTGCAGTCCGGTGGGGCAGCTGGGAAGTGAGAGGGCTTAGAGGCCACCTGCGGACAGCAAGGATGCTCTCCGCAAGGCTTCCCCGAAGGCAAGGCGAGGGACGCAAGGGTAAGTAAAAAAGAAGACAGAACACGTACACATGTTGAACAGCTACGGAAGAATTACAAAGCAAAGGCCGCCAAAAATAGCCCACGCCGGTTTGCCGCAGTGCCACTCATAGTTAACAAGTGTACTGCATTTTCATGTAGGACGTGAGCAGTACTGTCCTATGCACATAACGCGTGTACCTCATTTGATCCTCAAAACAGTTTTAAGTTGGAGGTTATCATACCTACATTACAGTGAAGGAAACTGAGGCCCACAGACGTTAGTAATTGGCCCAAGGTTGCACAATAACTGAGAAATGTCCAGGAGCCAGCCATCTCCCTCCGGAGCCACCGAATATAACCACAAGAGGTGGATCTGATCAGGAATATTAGCAAAAAGTAAAGGAAAGGTGGGCATGGTTCACAAGTTTCTTCCAAATGAGTACTAAACTTAGGAATGGACACAGATCAGGGAAAGTAATATTTACAACCTCTGGTAATTGTTAGGAATAAAAAATTACATTTAACATCTGCACAAAGATATTCAAGTTAATTCAAGTGAGTCATGAATTAGATTCTTGTAGTGGAACGTGGTGTGTTCCAGTCGTGGAAGGAATTGCCAAGGAATTGCCAAGGTTGTATTAAAACTGCCTTAGACAATGCAATGGTAACCCACATGAATAGAATATTTCTTCTGTGTTATAGGGCCCCGTGACCCAAGTGGGCAGGGAGCTAGAGCTAGAGAGAAACTTACTTTGAATCATGTCCTGTAGGAAGCAAACCAAGTCTGACTGAAAGATGGACTTCTTTGAAGTTTAATTCATAGTTTCCATTGTTATATTTCCATTAATACCCTCGAGGGACAGCAATACCCCTCAGTAGAGATGATCCTTTTTTTTTTTTTTTTTTTAAGCGTCACGATGAGGTTTATTTAGGAAGCTAATTCTGACAGCATCACAAAAGTAGAGATGATCCTTATCTCCTGATGACTGTAGCTCCTTCATTATCCTTGTCATCCTCACCATCATATTCATGTTTATTCATTGCCTCCCTGGGTATTTTACCACCTCTAGAACTGCATGAGACTCTCATTCCTTTAACATGTACACACCAAAATGGCAGGTAGAAATTATATATATATATATATATATAACATTATATGGTTCTTTAATGCACACTTAAAATTTAATATTAAATATATTAACTCCCTCAACTATCAATGTCTTATCAATATATTTCTGCTAATAATAATAGTTTACATTTATTGGTGTTCAAAACTCATCCCTCTTACGGTTTCATGTGTAAACATATCAAAATTCTATGAAATAGGTAATATTATTTCTCCCATTTTATGGATTAGGAAACTGAGGCATGGAGAGCCTTTACAACTTATCAAGATCATATGGCCAGTATGTGAAATATTTGAATCCTGGCTCCATGCATCCTGGCTGCAGGTGAGTATAGCTATCTTGTTGCTAAAAATATTTGTGTTAAGGGGCGCCTGGGTGGCTCAGTTAGTTAAGCACCTGCCTTCCGCTCAGGTCATGATCCCAGGGTCCTGGGATTGAGCCCTACGTTGGGCTCCCTGCTCAATGTGGAGTCTGCTTCTCCCTCACCTTCTGTGCCTGCTTGTGATCTCACTCACTCACTCACTCACTCTCAAACAAATAAATAAAAATTTTTTAAAAATTTGTGTTAAAATATCTAGGCTAAAATATTTCTATATGTCATTATTAGTCTAAGTGTAAACCACAAGAGGCTTTTGGAAACCACATAGCAGAGAATTCCTTCATTTATCAAGTTTTGTTGAGTATTTATTCTGGAACAAACTGTAATAAGCCTTGTGAATTCCAGTACCTCCCTCAGAGACAAAGAGCAAGTTCTTCCAGTGTCAGATGAGCCCTGACAAGATCTGCTCTCCCTGTTCTCATCTCATGGACCTCCTCATCTACACTCTCCTACTTGCTCTGCTCCAGCAACACTGACCACCTTTCTGTTTCCAGAATGTATGTGGCGTTTTTCTGCTCTAGGGCCTTACGTTTGCCTTTCCCCCAGATAGCGACATGGCCTTCTACCACAGTCTTCAGGTCTCTGCTCAATTATCGCCACCTTAGTGAGGCCTTCATGGGTAACTTCATCACAAGCCTGCCATTCACTGTCTCCTTCATCCCTGCTTTGTTTTTGTCCCTGGCACTTAGCATCTTAGAAGATAGTACCGAAGGATCTTATTAAATTTTGCATTGTCTGACTTCCCCAACTGGAATGTAAGGTCCAAGAAAGAAGGACCACCTGTTTATCCTGCACTCCGAACAGTGTCTGGTACATAGTAGGTACTCAATAAATATGTGTTGAAGGAAATACGAATACCCTGCATTTTGGCATGCAGATGACAGTGCTGTAGTTATGGGAGGCACAATGAATGGCGTAGGTTTGCACAGCCAAGAACATCTGAATCACTGGGATGCTTTTAGATGTAGATTCCTCAGCTCCACCCCTGAATCTGTATCTGAATCAGTAGAGTTGAGGTGGAGCTTGAGATCTGTATTTTAAAGAACTGCTTCCAGTGATTTCCATGGGCCAGTGCCCCAGGGGATAAGGGGGGGACACAAGGAAAAAGCATCAGTTCATCCTGGACAGGGAACAGGGGAGGCCCAGGAAGTAACAGCTAATGAGTGTCTTAAACTTCAAATAGGATTCTTGCAGGCAGGGACACTGCCAAGAGTGCAGAGTTAGGTAAATGTAATGACAAGAGACAAGGGAAGTACAAATGTTGAGAACAGAGGCGGGGAGGGGCGGGGAGAGGAAAGATTTTCTTTTTTCAGAAAAGCATTTTTGTGCAATCAAGTACTGAACTTTTGAGGCCGAATTTTTAAAGAACTTTCCTCATGCCTCCTTAGTTCCACACATGAATTGTCACATGAAAATGGCCACGCTTCCAGCAGATTCATGGCAAGCACTGAGTATTGGACTCATTCAACTTACACAGCTTATTATATTTGCAGAATGATTTGTGATCTCAATAGTCTCTTAAAAAGAAAGTATGTTGGTTCCATTTTAATAATTTCCAAAATTATTAACATTCTGAATAAACACAACCAAAAGTTTTAAGTCCCAGCCATGGAAAGATTTACAGAGTCAGCCTGGTCCTCAACCCCGAGTTCCAGGAACAGCTTCACATGCATCTTTGATAGGCTCAAAGTTGCATGCTTTCACTCAATAGGTCCTAGCTGTTGTCAGGGAGAACAGAAACTAAAACATATTCTGATCAACTTGGGGTAAAAACTCTTAGATTCGCAGTATTAGATGTGATGATTAACAACATGCATTCTTTGAACTCTTTGAAATATTTTTCACAACATCTGGCAATCACCCTTCGAAGTTACGCGTCACACAAGAACCTAAGAAGGAAAGCAAACCTCTCATTTTACAAGACCAGGAAAAGAGGCTGATGATACAGCTAGGGGACTGGGGCCAACCCAGGCTCTTCTCTTTCCTTCCCTCCATCTCGTTTCTTTATTCCTTCACATGTAGCAACAGGAACATTGCCAAGCATCTGGAATCTCGATGTCAGGACAGGTAAGTAGGCAAGAGGTATTTTGCTTCAGTGACTGTTAGGCTTTTCACTTCAATCAAGGACACTAAAGCAACTGAGTCAGTTTTTGCTCAGGGCACATTCTCCACTAGCCCTTTAGTTTGTGGGGTCCTCAGGGGAGAGAACATGTATGCCTCTTTGTTCAGTTCACTAACTATCACACACACACACACCTGAAGTTAGCACTCAGAGTCCTGCTTGGCCTTGAATCACTTTGCTACTCAGAGAAATGGTTCGCATACAATTAACCTCTCAGGAATGTTGCCATAATCGCTGGTCCCACCGCACCAACATCCTTCATTTTACCCTCACACCTTGTGTTTGGCTTGTCTCAGAAGAAACTCGTAAATAAATCCTTTCGGTTTTATTAACCATCCCTGTGGCCTGACAATGTTCTCAGTTTGCAAGGGGTGCCAGGACCGTCAATGCTGATATGCTAAGCAGTCTGGGTCCGTCAACGTGGGTTGTGTACAGAGAGAGACAGCAAAAGCACTTTCTTCTTAAGTAATGCCCTGGGGCCTGGCCTTTCTTGGTATCAGAACAACGGCTGCACAGGCCAGGATAGTATCTAGGCAGCTAAGAAATAACTGGCCCCTTCTATCAGCCTTTTCTAGAAGTCTCAAGGGGTTCTGCAATAGGAGCTTGAGCAGTAATGCTTCCTGATTTCTAGGAAAGCCTGCTGCAGTGCTGAATCCTCCCTGCCAAAAGGTGTAAGTGACCAAAGGCCAAGGGTTCAGCTAAGCTGATTAACTCACTCCCAGAGTGACCTTGTTGAGTTTTAGAGGTCAGGTCAAAGCAGTACAGGGCTGTGCATGCGTGGTGAATGGGATGAGGCTCAAACATTTTCTGTGACCTAAGTAAGAATTCTAGACATCCTTGGCAGGTTGAAGAGAAGCACCCAGGGCTGAATATGGGCAGGCACATCTGGGATAAACTTGCTCCCATGGCCCAAGTGAAAACGGAATCCAAATCAAACAGCAAACTCCAAACAAAACCCCCAACGGTGTTAGAATTCAGCGATTATTTTTATGAGTTTTACTACTAGAACCTCAACAGCCAAAGGTACTTCATCCGTGACATAGATTCTTAGTTTGGGAGGCTGTGGCTGAGGTCTCCAACTGAGGTGGGTATTCCTTGGCTCTGGGATCATCCTCTTAGCCTAAAATCACTTGTCTGCTGAAGCCACTTACTTTCAGCAACTGTAATCTGCAGCACACCATAGCCCATGGGCAGATCCCAACCTGCACGCTGTTTCTGTAAGTAAGGTTATATTGAACACAGCCATGCCTGTTTAGCTACATTTTCTTTATGGCTGCTTTTGTGTTACAAAGACCGAGTGAGTAGGGGGGACAGAGACACAGCCCACGAAGTCAAAAATATTTACTATCTGGCCTTTCCCAGAAAAAGTTTGCCAAATCCTATTCCTAACTTTTCCTCTCCCATTCAGTCATTGCTTTCCCTTTCCCTTTGTGCTCTTTCGCTAGAAAGGTAGCTTTGAATTTTAAAATTTCCAACTATGAGACACTTCAAACATAGAGCAAAATAGAACATATAATAAACCCTGTCTGCCCACCACCAAGATTAAAACGATACTAATAGTTCCTATCTTTATTTTGCAATCTATTTCAATTTTGAAAGAAGTAAAATAATATAGGTAAAGCCACAGTTTTGTTCTCTTATCCTTCTACTGTCACTGAGATGACCAGCATCCTGAAGTTGATTATATCATTCCTGCTGGTGCTTTTCCATGTTTACTGGTGTGTTTTGCATATGAGGGCATGTTTGTGTGCACGCATTTGACCGTCACATGTATGTAGTACTACACCCTTGTTGAGCAACTTTTATTTTATTTTATTTATTTTATTTTTTGAGCAACTTTTAAATTCAACAATAGGTGTTTGAGATTTTATACATGTGGATGTCTATTCAACTCCACTGCTGAATCTTAAAGCACAGTTTATACATTCACCCTACTGGGGGACAGTGAAGTTGCTTCTACTTTGTCACTGTTACCAACAGTACTGAACAGTTTTGTGTGTGTTTATTGATACCTATCTGTTATAGGTTTACTAGAGGAGACACTGAGAAGTGGAAATGCTACATCACAGGATATGTACAACTTGAGCTTGGCAAAGTTTTGCTAAGTTACTTTCCAAGTACTTCCCCCCACCCCCAGAGTAATATGTGAGTCCCTGCAGATGCACATACTTGCTAGCCCTTGGTGTTACCAGATTTGTTATGTTTTGCCTATCTGAAAAATTTGAAATGGCATCATATTATTATTATTTTAATTTGCATCTTCTGATTACAAGGGAGTTGATCACCAAGCTCAAATACTGTAGTTGTACCTTGAAAGGGAGTGATTGCAACTTATTATAAGTAAAGGAGAGAAATTAAAACATTAGGAAAGGAAAAATAAGAAGTACTAACTATCAATCTTCTGAACTGTCATGAGAAGAATAGGAAGTGGCTTGCAATTTCAAAGTAGAATGATCAGGACATCCCACATGACTCAGAAGTTTGAAATCCAAATGGATTCATTTACTTTTCCAAGTGACATTGCCTGAGTGGAACACTGACTATCATTTTGTTCCAGGAGAAGTTTAATTTCATCTGGAAAAATTATATTGTGTTTTTAAAAAAAGGTTTTCAACCAAAGAAGAAATGATACTGTCATTATTTACTTTGACTTCTGGATAGCAAGTGTATCATTTAGGAATTTGTAATCAGAGTTCTTAATCTTTGAAACAATTGTTGGGGTAAACCCAGTCTGGGAAATGTAATGCTGAGGCAAGATGGCAGCAAAGCATTAAGTTAAATGAGAAAATGGATGGGAAAGCTCTTTGAACGCTGTAAGCTTATACACACATGGTTGCTTTTCTCAAGAGCAGAGCCACTTGGGAATGAGAGTGAGAACATGGTTTCTGGGCCTGGAGCTGCCCATCTCGTGACCCTGTGTGACTCACTCCTAAGCTTCCCTGGATTCCCCTCTGTAAAATGGTGTTAATGGCACTTGCCATCCCCATTCCATGTTGCTGTTATGAGGAGTGTGGCACTGAGATCCAGTCATCATCCAAGTACTCTCTGAGTGAAAAGAACCATGAGTTTTATTTGAAAGGAAGGAAGAAATTACGAGCAATCCATTAAGGATTTTATAGGCAGTGACATTGTTCTCTGTCGCCATTAGGCAGAATCTTTATTATTGTTATTATGATGATGATGATGATGATTTTCAGATGAAGATTTTAGGCTGTGGCTCAAGGGACTAGTCATACTTCAATGATTCTGTGCTTCTCAACCTCTTTCCTCAAGTCTTCCTAGGACAGCCTTGTGTGTTCACAGCGAGCTTCTAAGACAAAAGGCTTCCACTTCTCTGACAGCAGGGTATAGATTTTCTGTCTGTGTACACATAAGAATCAGAGGGGCCTGTCTGAAATGTGTGAGCAAAATCAAAAGCATCCTGCCCATGCACCCCATCAACACTCTCTACTTCAAGCTACTCTGTTTCACTTGTGTGACAGTGGATATCAATGGGACAAGGCATGTAGGAAAGCCTGACAAAACTGTGTACCCCCGTTTCACTTCCTCTGGAATTCATGACAAAAGTATTTTTATTCTTTTTCTTTAGTCTTTTGATGTCTTTTACGGATTTTTCTTTCTCTGGCTTCCTCTTAGAGGATTGTGTTCCCCAAGGATTTTTCCATAACCCTGTTTTCTCCTGCCTCACATTCCTACTAAGAATTTCATCCATGCCAAGACTTAAGCCACCAGTTGCTATCTGCTCATGACTCCCAGATGCTATACCCAACTGCTTACCAAACATTCTCTGGATGCCCTATAGGTACCCCAAATTTTATATGTTCCAAATCTCATCCTATTTTTTCACTCAGCTCCTCTTCTGAAAGTTACTGTCTCCATAAAGAGCATGACATTTATCCATTTCCCCCAGGCTAAAAAGCTGAGAGTCTGGGCAGGCCCTAGTTGATTTACTACCTGAGAGCTAATGTCCTCATTCTTCTTGCTAATAGAAGCACAATGTTGTTCAGGTACTGGAGTCCAGGTCCTTCATGGGCACTTCTACATACCATGGAGTACAGAGTTGATAGGTCCAAGTCAGTGACTAACAAGATGTAAGAAATAGCCTCCTGGGAAAGATTTTTACTCCCTGATAGAAAGAGACATGCCAGAAGAAGGTATTGTTCTGGTCTGGGTTGTGTTTGTGCAAGGATCTGGTGACTGAGGTCACAGCAGCCACCAGGAGGGTACAGCACGGGATGAAAGTCAAACCTTTGCAATATAAAGCACAAAATGGAAAGCCACTGGATTCTTGATTACATTGGTAAACCACTGAATTAACCATCCCTACAACTGCTTATCTCTGGGCTTCAATGTTGTCAGTTAAAAAACTCTTCAGTATGTAAATCGTTTTTATTTGGGTATGGAGAATATCCAAACTTAATCTTCTCACATATTAAATCCGTTAACAAGACCTTATTGTCTTTCTTGCCTCACTTCTAAACCCCACTGTTACTACTTTGGTTTGGGTCTTCATCACCTGAACATTACACCAGTCTCCTCACTGGCCTCCCTGCCTCCAGACTCACACTCACATCCACTTTCCAGGCTCCTATCAGAGTGAACATCCTAACATGCAGATCTGTCTCTGTTATCCCTTTCAGTTTTCCCTTTTCAGATTTCCCATCATGAACAAGTTCAAAGTCTTTGGCACAGTGTACAAGCCTTCTGTGATCTTTGTCCCCTCTAGTCCCATCATGTTATCCCCTCACAATACCACGTTATGCTTGAAAGACACAAAACTATGTGTCCTACCGCATGCAAGGTTGTTTTCTACCTGCAATCATTTGCACAGTTGTTTCTTTTGCCTGAAATACTGTTCCTTTGACCACTGGTGGGTATTTAAGTTTCACTCAAATTTCACTTCCTTTGTGACAGAATCTGTGCTTCCCATGTTCTTCATTTCTGCCATTATCATACCTGCCTCATCACAACTAACAGGCCACTGTGCGGCTATGGGCTGCGCATTCTCCCCACCGGAGTGTATGTTGTTGGAAGACGTGATATTTAATCTTTGTTTCCATATGGACTTGTGGTTGGTCTACAGAATAGTTCTAATAAATGCTTATTTGTGCTTGCATGAATGAAAGATTGAATGATTACATAGGTTTTAGCTACACTAGTATAGATGAGAATGTTTTTATTTTTAAAAACTATAAAGAAGAACTTGAAACTGGGTTAACTTTTCAGTAGCAATGATGCTTTTTATGTAAGCCTTTCATCATAATGATTGAATACATATCAAGCTATCGAAATCAGAAATCAACATAACTATTCAAAGTGGAATAACTTTTTTTACAGTCTAATAGACTTGCCTGTGATGCACTAGTAATATTTTTGCAGGTCCTTATCCTCCTTTTATTTCAAACTGTTGTCCACCTCTCTGCTCTTTCTGCCACTGACCTGAAGTTCTTGGTCAATCTCTCATCTTCCAGCTGGCATAGGTACAGTCCTGGGGGTGACTGAAAGGCTTTCCAAGGGGTACTGCTCAAGGGTAGTTTTCGATGAAGCAATATTCAAATAGTCAACCTCCACTTGTTCCTTCTCTTCAAAGAGACCTGCCCAAGAAGTTGTCCTTACACTACAGGTGTCTGCAATAGGCCAGGCAAGTCCTCCCTTCCTGCCTCTGTCGGTATCCCTTCCCCCACTTGACAAAAAGAAGGGACAGCTCTCATCCACCCTACTTCTACTGTGCTGTCTTGCCTGGGGTATAAGGAAGGTTCCAGGGCACCAAGTGAAAGAACAATTCTAAATATTGGAACTCTCACTAAAAAGTAAATTTTAATAAATTCTTTTTCATGTCAGATTGTTTCCAATAATTTGCTTTTAATCAACACTGAAAGAAGATCTAAATGGTCCGGTGATCTATCACCAAAAATAATTTTTTGATGAGTATTATGTGATTATTGATATGCAAGTAAATCTGAAAAGTTTTAAGAAATTGAGACATTGCTATTAGAAAACACATTTCTACAAACTGAGGGTTGCTGGAGTGGGTGGTGGGGGGGAGGGATGGGGTGACTGGGTGATGGACACTGGGGAGGGTATGTGCTCTGGTAAGCGCTGTGAATTGTGCAAGACTGTTGAATCTCAGATCTGT